AGAGAGGCCCCGCCCCATCCGCGGGGGCGGAGCCTAGGCAGCCGGGGCTCTACAGGCTCCGGAAGAGCTGAGCGCCAGATGCGCTGTGCGCAGGCGCCCGGGAGGGACGCGGCGATTTGTGTGGTTCGCACGCGCGGGCGGGGTGAGAAAGACCAGACGCTGGCAATTGTCTTGGCAGCTTCTCGGCCGCTGGTAAGACTCGCCACGCTGTCCCCTGGCTTCATAGTTCATTCGGTGGACACTGTCCTTGTTCCCTTTTTTGTCCCAGGGACACCATCCTGAGGAATTTAGTGGTAGCGTGGCACTGGCACACGTCGGTCTCACGGGGATCTGTACTTACTGCGGTGGTTTCCTGATCTCAGCTGGGCAGGCAGAGGCGCCGATTTGCACCTGAAATTCCCACCAGACCGGATGACAGTGGCGAGCCGTGAGCCTCCCCCGCGGATGCCAGCTCGGCCACGGAGTTTGAGGGCCTGAGCGGGTCCTGCTCGCTCTCGCTTCCGCTGCCTGGCGAGGCTCGGGGAGAAGGTTGCGCTTCCTAGCCGGACTGGACGCAGTCACACCGCTGTCGCTGCTCGCTACCTCACGTGGAGGGTTTGGGCTCCGCGGATCAAGCAAGCCTGCCCTTGCCCTGCGCAGGAGGCCACGTTCGTAATTGCGGTCCTGCCTCTAGTTTCCATCCCGCCCTTTACAGCTGCAGAACATTTGGGTAGCCACGTTGAAGACTGCAGAGTAGCTTTGAAACCACTGTGATTTATTTTTAATGTAAATTATTGACAAATTTCAGTTACCAGGGCACCACATTACAGTGCTTAAGATGTACCCCAAACCAGTCCGTACGCACACTGTGTACCAGTAGACCTGCGGTATATCCTGTGAGCTATGAGGCTTCCATCAAGGAATTAAAGTACTTAAATATGGTTCTGGGGAAAATGTTCTTTCATGTCTTTCAGAATCTCTGGCAAAGCACTTAATGGGGCACTCAAAATGTATTACCAGACAAGTGAATCCGCAGGTGCTTTGAAGGATTTGGAAAGGAATCTGTCCACTTAAGCCTACAAGGGTTGCATTTTCTATTGCGCTCTTGAAAATTAAATGTCTATAAATGAAAGAAGATAAATTTGATGACATCAGATGATAGAACAGTGTAGAAAAGAGAAAAAAGATGAACAAGTCTGACATCTGAAAAGCAGGAACTATAAGAAAATAGAATCAGGATATAGCTGTGCACACCTGTAATCTAGCACTCTTTCGGGGCTGAGGCAGGAGGATCCCAAGTTTGAGCCCAGTCTGGGCAATTTAGCAGCATTAGAGACATTATCTCAAAAAACAGCAGGGCTAGGATGTAGCTTAGTGTAAAGGCACTGGATTCAATCCCCAGTACTGAAAAAAAGAAAATGAAGAGCAAGAAATTAATAATTCCAAAAAAATATCCCATATTTAGAAAACATGTTCTTAATGTTTGGGAAAGCCCAACAAGTGCTGAGGCCATAGCACAACAAACTGTAAAAAAAAAAAAAAAAATGTATATGAAGGTATATCACAAAATTTCAAAACTCCAGAGAAAAAATATTTTCAGAGTTTCCAGAAGGAGAAATCAAAGATTCACATTTAAGGAATTAGAAATGAGAATAGCATGGAAATTCTCCATAGAATTCCAGGAAGTTGAAATACTGTAGAGCATTAACTTCAAACTTCAGAAGAAAATAATGCTGACATAGAATTGGACCCCATCAAAAATCTTAGTTTTGAGTAGGATAAATACATTTTCAGATGTGCAGTCTCAAAAGATGTTATCTACCAAATGCCTTCTCTTGGCTACTCTGGAGGATTTTCTCCAGAATTAAAACGTCAGTCAAGAAGAGGAATATTGGAGGCCTACAAAACAAGACTCCAACAGAAGAGAGAGAAGTCTCAAGATGAAAGCTGAAAACTTGTAATTTAGAGGATTTGGGCCTCCAGGATTTAGGATTTAGTTTAGAGGATTCAGGCCTCTGGGAGAAGTATCTCCAGAAAATAGTGAAGCCTGCAGCCACTTATTTGAACATTAGAAGAGATATTCCCAGTTAGGTAATGATAAATAATATCCACAAGGGAAAGCCAATAAACAAAGCAGGCAATTTTTGAATCTAGTAAAGACAACATAATGTAAAAATACAAAAAGGGAAATGTAATCACAGCCCATGCCTCAACTGAATGATCATTACATATTACCAGGCAAATATTGATGTCATATGTGTGTGCAGACACTGGGGTTCAGAAAGTAAGGACAGGAGAGCTGGAGCCAAGAGGTTCAGAGAAAAACCTGTAGTGCAGAAAATGCCTCTCTAAAATATGGGAGTCGGTTCCAAAACTAGCAATTATCAGATAAATTTGGAGGAAGGAGCTAGGAGTAGTAATGTGTGGTGTGGGCAAAGGCTATTTTTTGCTACAAACCTAGAAATACTATTTGAATTTTTAAATCTGTAAATGTATTACTTTGATAGAATGCAGAAATTTAAGTTTTAAAGTATGGTGGCATAGCTAGAACAAGGCATACCAAGTGGCACAATTACAGTATTATTCAAACTCCAATCTACACTAACGCTTTGGGGGGGTAACCGGGGATCAAACTCAGGTCCTTGCGCTTGCAAGGTAGGTGGCAGAACTGCTGAGCTAAATCCCTGGCCCTACACTAACACTTTTTAAGATTGTTATTACCACACATTACTCTGCAGTGAATGGTAAACTAAGAGTCATTTGTAGGAAAATGGATGCACCTTGAGATAAGAAGTGAAATAAATCAGACACATAAGCTTAAATATCACATGGTTTCTCTTACATGAGAAACTCAAGATATAAATAAAAAGCAAAGGACAATAGGAAGCAAAGAATTACATCTCAAACGGGAAGAGGATCAAAAAATGGAGGGGGAAGGGAAGGGATTGGAAGGGGATGGAAACAGAATGAAGATGTGTTATGTGCACAAACCAATTCCACACAAGGAAGATAAACGTTTGTACTACAAACACAATAAAATAAAAACTATAGTAAAAATCATTATTACCCTGCTACAGTTCACTGCAGTGAAGGGGAGGAAAAGTCAGACTAAGGTTTCTTTCCTGGGAGACCAGTAGCAAAGCTGTGTATAAAATTCAGTGTAAAAGGAGCAAAAACAACTATTTTGGGGGCTGATCCGATCCTCAGATACCTGTAGGGTGAATGACAGGGAATAGAAGACAGAGACAAAATTCAAGGTATAACTGGACTGGGAGAAATCTGCCTCTAGTGGACAAGCTCGACAATCTCCTCGGTTGACCTACTTTTATTACCCAGCAAGAAGTGCAGGAGGAGGGGTAGTGTACTTTTCCTGGAAAGATGACTGTAGTAAGAAAGGGGAAATAAAAAATGAAGAACAAGTTAAGCTTCACAAAGGGAACAAGTTAATGCAGATTAAATCCTTCCCTTATACCTAGATTCCTGCATTTTTTGCATTGTCCTCAGCAGATGTTATCTTGCCTTCGGAGCTCTGTGATTATGAGCTTTTCCTTTCCAGCCAGGAAGCATGCAGGCTTCCACACACTTTCCTAGTCCTAAAGCAGATCATGCTGGCTTTGAGACTAGGGGGCCTAAGTCATGTAGCCTGGTCCCCAAAATCTTCCTCACATAGTTTGAGCCCCAACAGATTATTCCTCCTTTGCCTCCAACCTTACAGCAGACAGACACATTTTCCCATACTCTGTTCTACTTACCCAGCATCAGTTTGGGAGAGAACCTAAAACTGAGTAGATGATTTTCATAAAAGAGAAAATAGTTAAATACAGAAAATAGATAAGAACCAGATTTTTCTGTTACTTGTACACCAAAATATCCTATCTGTTGCAGCATTCATCTGTGAAGGAATAATTTCTACAGAATTTATCCTCCTACTTTAATCAACTAGGAAACCTTACAATAGTAACCTTTTTCCTTTCAGACAACAGGAAGTAAAGGATGATGACGATGATGATGATGATGATTTTGCAGTACTGAGGGTCAAACTGAGAAATACTCTATTACTGACCTTTACTCCAGTCCTTTTTATTTTCAGACAGGGTCTCATTAAGTTACGCAGGTTGGCCTTAAACTTGCCATCCTCCTGCTTCAGCCTCCTGAGTGCTAGAATTACAAGAGCATCTCCATACTGATTGATTAGGATTTGAGAAAGAATAAATGGGACAAGTAGTATGGTTGTGCTAGTTTCCACTATGTTGATAGATGAAATCAGTGAAACAAAAGACTGGCTTCTTGATAAGTTCCATAAAACAGATCCACTTGTGGCTACACTGATAGTGAAGAGAGCAACATAGCCAACCTGTACTAGCAATAGAAGACATGTCGTTTATATAAAGGGGCAGAAAAATATTTGAACAACTTTAGATGAAACCAGAAATTCCTTAAACAATACAAATTACCAGACCTCACCAAAGAAGAAATAAAAGAGGGGTAACCCTTCACTAATTGAAGAAATTAAATTTTTACATAAAATCTTCCCACAAAGTGAATTTCAGTTGTCAGTGGTCTTGTGAATTCTATCA